AAAATCCGGGAACCCGTAAAGGCTACGACGCTTATTCGGCGCCCCTAAAAAACCGTAGAAGCCTCTCGATCCGGCCGAGGAACGTATAATTAAGGCTTAAACTAAAGCCATAAATAATCGACGAAGTATTACGGTAACGATTAATCTAATATACCTTATTAAGCCTACGGCTTATAACGGTAAGGACTTAGCTAAATTCCGACTATAATAAATTAAGGTTAAATCCTACCTCGAAACTTATAAAGAAAGCTTTACCCGGAACGTCTAGAAGATTAATTAGGTAGGATCGATACTTACCGAAAAGGCCTAGCTCTAGTATTAATAACGGTTAGCCTAGGTAGAAAGGTTAATAATCGTCGATACTTAGGCGGGATATTCCTAAGTACTTTAAGAACGATTTAAAGACCCCGCCGAACGATATCGTAACTCTAAGAAGATATAAAAACTAAAGTATTAAAGAGATATCTCCTAGTACCTTACCGAGCTTATAAACCTTAACGATATCGTCTAATGGTTCGGAATTACCTTTTAGAATTATATCGCCCGTATCTTATCCGACGAAATAACTAAGCTAGTTTATTCGCGATTAGGTAGTATTCCCGAAAGCGATAAAGCCTTCCTTAAAGTAATTAAGGAAGCCGGCTAAATTTACGAAAATATAATAATTAACCTAGGGATTTCGGGAAAAGGAAGGTCCGCTTCGTAGAAGGAGTATACGAAAGCGGACTAGTAATAGCGGTAACCCGTAAAAGAGACTCGCTCCCGCTTAAGTTAACTAGTAAACAAACGTAAGGGAAAGGATAATAAGAAACCCGTACCGGCTAAGGACTTACGATAGATAGGTAATAAGAAGGCTTTAGCCGGAATTAACTAAGCCGCTATCGATTAACGAAAGAAGGATAAGAAAGCCTACTGGAAATACGGAAGGGATAATTACTAAACCCTAGCTTATTTCGTAAAAAAGGACTTAAAAGGACGGGACTTACCGGCGCTACCTAAAAAAGTCTTATCGGGAAAAAGAAAAAGAAAGGAGTCCGAGCTACTACCTAATAAAAGGGCTAGGATCGATATTACTATACGATAGGAGGAAATTCTTTCCCGTATTATAAAGCTATCCGACTCCGATAAAGAACGGGATTTTTAAATGCCCTTCCGTAAGCGTTAACGGAAGATAGGGGCGATAAAAATAACGTAAAGATTACGGTTATTAAACGGCCCGGAACGATAGAAGTAGCGGAAGCGGTACTAATAGCGAAGAAACTACGAGTCCCTTAGCGTAACCCCGACGAACTAAGGTTAGGTAAACGGCCTATTCATACGATATAAATAAAATATTAAGGAAAGAAATACCCCTTACGAGTCCTTTTAAATACCGGTAGTAAGGTATCCTTAATTAACGCCGCTAAAGTCGAATAATTACGCTTTTTTATTAACTAACGCTCCAAGGCTAGAACCTTAGTAGGATTCGACGGCTCGGAAATCTCGTTAGGAGGACTTTAGTATATTAATGAAATAAAGCTCCGTAGCTACGACTATATCTACCGTATCGCTTAGGAAGTTAATAAATTAAACGAAAAGGTCGATGCTATCCTACCTTAATAGTAAATAAAGGAATACCTCCCTTAAGGATTATTTATAGACGAACGGCTATACTTTAACTCGTTACGGTATTAGAATTATCGCTTACGGCCGGTTCGTATAGGAATAGTACGAGAAGTAAAGGCTCTAGTATAAGTACCGGAATAATTTCGTAACTTCGTTCCTATTATAACCAGGGAAGCCGAATAACGATTCCTTAATCGGTAACCGTAGGACTACGCTATTAAGCTCCGACTAGGAACTATTTCTCCGTAGGGACCTTTATATGTCATAAGCGGACGATAGCTAGATGCCTTAAAACCCTAGCTCGACGAAATAATAACCATAGGGAGAATCCGAAAATCCAAGGCCCTTTACGGCGTATTTATAATGTTTATAAATAAAAAGAACCTAGGTATCCTAAGACCGGTAGCGGACTACCGGGGGCTAAATAAAATTATAATACCCGTCCGATATCCGATTCCGCTAATTAACGAACTATAGAACCTATTCTAAACGGCGCGGTAGTTTATTAAGATTAATTTAAAATCTAGGTTCCATATAGTACGGATTAGGAAAGGTAATAAATGAAAAACCGCCTTTAAAACGCGATACGGGCTATACGAATATATAGTTATACCTATGGAATTAATTAACGCCTCCGTTACCTTTTAAGCCATAATAAACCATATCTTCCGCGACCTCTTAAACGCCGGGATTATCGCTTACTTAGATAATATCCTAATCTATATTAATACGTTAAAGGAATATAATAAATTAGTTAAAGAAGTCTTAAAACGGCTTATAAAGAACCATTTAGCGGTAGTCCTAAAGAAATATACCTAGCGAACGTAAGAAGTTAAATTCGTAGGATATAATATAAGCCCCCGAGGTATTACTATATCTAAAGATAAAGTAAAAGCTATCCTTAATTAACGTACCCTAGCTATACTTAAAGACTTATAAAGCTTTATTAGGTTCGTTAACTTTTACCGTAAATTCATACGTAATTTCTCGGGCATAGCTAGGCTAATTATTAGCGTAAATAAAGGAGACCGTAAGCTATGGAAATAGGAATTCGAAATAAAGAAGGCCTTCTAAGAATTAAAAGAAACCTTTACGAAGGCCTTAGTATTTATATATTTTAACCTTAATTAAGTCCTAATTATCGAAGCCGACGCCTTAGATTTCGTTATTTCCGCGGTCCTCTTCTAGAAGGATAATAAAGGGAAACTAAGACTAGTAGCTTTTTTCTTACGACGACTTACCCTAGCGGAAATAAATTATAAGATATATAATAAGGAACTATTAGTAATCGTCGACGTATTCGAGAAGTAGCGATATTATTTCGAAGGTACTTAGCATTAAATAAAAGTATATTCCGATTATTAGAACCTAACGTACTTTACTACGGTAAAGGTATTAAATCGACGCTAAGCCCGCTAGGCTTAATAACTCTCTTCGTATTACTTTATAATATACTATCGCCTAGGAAAGTAAAATAAGAAGGCCGATATTTTATTTAGACTACTATAATATCGCCTTAAAAAAGGAGGAGCTAAGAATTAGCCGATAGCGACGGTCCTATAGGAAAAGCATTTTTTAAAAAATTTAGGCTTACCCGCGGTAATACTTTCTAGCGTACGATTAAGTAATATCTTAATACCTACTTAAACCATAGAGTTCGTTAAATAAGTTAAAACGGTAGCTATATAAGACCTAAAATACTAAGCCTAGTTAGTTAAATCATTCGGTAAAGAGATAAAGCTTTAAGAGAGCCTCCTCTATTAGCGAAACCGTTTCTAGGTACCTAAGAACCTATAATAAAAAGTAATTAAATCGGAATACGATATTAAAGTAGCGGGGTATATAAGCATAGATAAAACCATAGAACTTATTACTCGTAACTTTTAATAGCCTAACCTAGAAGTAATAATTAGGGAATTCGTTAAAGGGTACCGCGAGTACTAATAAAACAAGGTATCCCGATATACCCCGTTCGGATTATTATAACCTATGGAACTATATTATCGACTATAATAAACGATCGCGATAGACTTTATTACGGACTTACTAATATCTAACGGCTACGATTCTATCTAGGTTATTATAAACCCCTTTACTAAGATAGCGTATTTTATCCCGCTAAAAAAGGACGGTAAAAAAGCCGAAGACCTAATACCTATCTTTATACGTAATTATTAACGGCTATATAGGATCCCTTTAGATATTATTTCCGACCGAGACTCGCGATTTACCTCCTATATATAGAAAGGCGTCTTAAAGCTCCTCGGCGTTAAGCCTAGAATAAGTACCGCTTTTTATTCTTAAACGGATAAATAAACGAAAAGACTTAACTAAATCCTAGAAGTATACCTACGCGCCTTCGTAAACTACGAAATAAGCGACTAAGAAAGCTTACTACCTACTACCGAATTTACTTATAACAATACCGCTTTAATAGCTACCGGTATATTATCCTTTTACGCTAACTATAAGTAATACCTAGTCGCATATAACCTTCCTTTAGGTACCCTTAAGAATCCAAGAAGTAACCTCTATATTTATTAAATAACTCGGGTATATAACGAAGCTAAGTAATACTTAAAAAAAGTACGGTAGCGGATAAAAGGATAGGTAAATAAATACCGAAAAAAGGAACCCCCTCTAGAAGTCGGATAGCTCGTTATATTAAACGCCCGTAATATTAAAACCAAACGCCTTATAAAAAAGATAGATAAAAAGATACTCGGTTCCTTTAAGATCTAAAAGGTCGTCTTTCCTACCGCCGTAACTCTAATACTCCCGAAAGGCTAGCGTATTTATAGTACCTTCTACGTATTCCTTATCGAACCCTACCGCGCTAGTAATTAGGAATTACCTAACCTTAACCAGGTCCTACGGGAGGTAGCCCCGATCGAGGTAGAAAACTACGAGGTAAATAAGGTATTAGATTCCGTAAGAACCGGAGAAGTTATTAGATACCTAGTAAAGTAATAAGGATAGCCGGCTAAGCGCTATTAGACTTAGGAACTATAAAAGTACTTTACTACCGAAGGGACGAAGGAAGCCGTTAAGTTATTCTACCTATAGAACCCTAATAAACCTACTAACCATCGGACCTAGGTATTACGCTTAGGAACGAGCTCCTCCGAAGAAGGGAAATAATATTACACGGGAATAGAACCCTACGCTAATAAATTAAGCTATAAAGGTTAGGAGGATAATATCGGGTATTAAAGCCGTTACCTCGGCGACCTACTAAGGAAAATCCTAGATAAGCTTCGGATAGCTTCGGTATTAAGGTATAAAGGTACAAAGGTACAAGGGTACTTCCGGGTTATATTAGGACGAGAAAGGAACGTAGAACTTAGGAGAAGATAAGGACCTAAGAGACCCCCTATAGAATTATTAGTTAAATTGAACCTATTCCAAGCATATCCCCTTGTTACAATTTCCAGCCCGCCACCAACCTTTTCATAGGTACCTATCTCTCAACCCTCCTACTATTATCCGGAGAGGCGTTTGTAACATACACATGTCCACCACGTTTATTTTTCGTAGTAGTACGGCACATCGACGCGTGGAGGGCCTATAGCTGAGCGATTCTCGTCGGCGTAGGGTCTCGATTGCGTCTTCGCAATGCTCAGTGCGCATGTAGATGCGGACGGTAGGATCGCTAGATTCGTTTCCCTCTTAGGGCTGATATACAGGTATCGTGTTATACATTACTACACAACAGCTGTTGCTTTTCCCAGGTGCAAGTCTCTATATAAGCGCCTTCCCGTTGAACATATTATCCCTAACCTCGGCTACGATATCTTGCCGGTCGCCTCTACCCACTAGGACGATTCCTCTTCCCCTCCTGCCCATACGGCCGGCCCGACCCAAGCGATGGATGAAGTCGATAGTGGTGTGCGGCACGTCATACAATATTACATGTCGAACTGCGGTAGTATCGATGCCTCTCGATGCCAAATCAGTGGCCACAATCACTTTGACGTTTGGCAAGACCCTCAGCCCCTTTCCGGGCTCAGGTATGGGAGGATGTTTTAGTGGCATCGATCCGGTAGTCTTAAATGCGTCCAACATCTCCGACTGCCGTCTTTCGGGGGTGTCTCGGTGAAGTGCGATGGCATCAATGCCCTTGGTTACGAGATAGTCAGCGACCACTTTAGCCATCTCGCGCTCGTTGACGAATACAATAATGCGCATGACAGTAGTTTCGGTGGTGAGTTCTCCGGTGGCGGGTTCTTGAGCACCGGGTTCTTGGGCGCCGGGTGTTTTAGCCCTCTTAACGGGTTCGTATTCCCGAATTGACTTCTTGCCGATCCCCCAAATGATATCCGCGCAAGCAACATTCTTATTATTATGATAGAGACCCTGATTCACGTCAAGAACGCCCAGCTGCACGCGGCGAGGAATGGCGTGAAGGTTTGGTGTGGTCATTCGGGTCATATCCGGGAAGTTGGATTCAAGATAACTGTCAAGCTTCTTGGTGATGGTGGCAGAACAGAGGATGAGCTGTTTTAATGAAGGTAGGGCGCGATCTATAATAGACGTGGTTTCATGGGAAAAGCTGCGGTCGAAAAGCGAGTCGGCCTCGTCCACCACTAGATGAGTTACCCGAGACAGAATATAAGGGTCAGAATCTGCTATCGACGATAGTAAGTGAGGCGTTGAAACGATAAGATCGATGCCCTTGGGCGTGTACATGCTCGCGTTGATGACTGTCGCCGAAATCTTGGCGGATAAGAGGACGGCCTTATATTTAACCACATGACTCATGGCCTTCGCGATGCCGCCTATCTGGTCAACCAACTCAGCCGTTGGCACTAACACGATAGCCCGGGGCCGTGCCGTGGTGGGGTGAGGATCGAACTCCCTCGGACCAGTGTATCCCGGTGTCTGCATATGTTGCTTCAATGTCTCACACTTTTCCCGATAGGCGGCGATAGCGGGGTCGGCAGCCTCTTGTCTCTTCAAAGCATCTATAACGGGTAGAAGGTAGGCTAGGGTCTTGCCCGAGCCTGTTTCCGCGGCTAGAAGAAACTCATGCCGCGCATCGTGACCTTTGTCTCTCAACCCCCGAACGGACCTCGGGTTCAGCAGAGCGGGGATGGCCAGTCTTTGGATAGGGGTGGGCTTGACATCCACCAAACCCTTTAGAACGTCAAGAAACAAGGCTTCCGTAACAGAAGGTAGAAGCTTCAGTTGATCGAACGACACTATCTCGGCGATGTTCTGTTTCGTCCGAGTCCGATAGCCGTATGAGACGGTTGCAAGCGCGCCTTGCATTCTCATCGCTTTAGTCCGTGGCCCGTGGTCCTTTCCACGCTCCTCTCTGCCCCTCCCGCCATACCTCTTGGGGTCGTCCCTGTCTCGGAGCGGCCTGCCCTCGCCCGGTCGAGGGGTTCTCATCATCGCGGACTCTCGGGGGGGGGCGAATGTCTGATTCATGCCCCCGAACGGCCCCGGCGACCTCCACCCAGGTTTTCTACCACCACGCGCCTGCGTGTCTGACCCCGGAAAGCGGGCGACACGGTTGGACAGGACCATCCTCGAGGGAGCGGATCCTGTACGCACGCGGTTGGAGAGGAATCGTCGCGCAGCCCATGGACTGGAGGTGAGTCGGAGAATGTGGAGGGCATTTCGGGTCTTCGCTGTAAATAAGCATGACGGACATATCGGCGTCGAGAAAAGGAGGCGCATAGTCGAGAACTGGGAGGTTCAGGGCCGTCCGCTTCGCTATTCTACGAGCAAAGAGCAGGGGCTTTCTTTCTCGGTCGCGAAAGTTGCGACTTCGAAATTTTCTCTTCACAAGTTCGGTGATAGGGTACCCCGCGCTAAACCACGTTCGGTCTAGATTATTGGCACCCCACACACCCCACACACAATGGGTACACGATAAACAAATAGAAATGGATAATGTCATAAATCCACCCTTGACCTATACATCGGTACCTGCTAGGCGCCTTTCGGGTGGGGTGTCTTAGGTACCTACGTAGTGTAAGTCCAGGGATAGATCCGCCCGAAAATCGGCCCTGGGAGCGGTAAACGTCGTCATTATATATACGTGTAGAAACATGCACTACACAGTACAAGTGCTACCTACCTCCTAGGTACCTCTCATCTACCTATTCAGGTACCTACCCACCGAGGAGGTACCTCTTAGGACAGGTCCTGTGGCCATCTAAGGAACGGGTGAACAGTTAATTGAATTGCAGTTATCTACGTGGCCTTTTGAAGCCGTTTTACGTGCCTTTTATATCCCGATTAGCCCTCGCTAAGACAGGGCTTACCCTATAGCTATACGTAACCGATTACGTACTTACGCGCCTATACGCCTTCTTAATTTAAGTAAGGCTATCGTTAGGCTCTTAAATAACGTAAGGCCTTAATTCCGTAGTATTTTCCTCCTTTATCGCTTTATTTATATACCTATTTCGTTTAAGAAGTAAGGCTATTACGGGTCCTTTAGATATAATAACTTAATAAACCTTTAGTATTCTTTCGCCTCTAAGGGCTTCGTAAACCTATTAGCCGCGTTCTTAGCTAATAGTACGTATCTTAACTTAACGTATTCTTCTTTTACCTCTTAACTTACGTAGTAATAATCCTTTCGGATATACCGCTTTTACTTATTTATCGTAGTTTCCTTTACTTACGTATTCGCCGTCGTACTATCGTATCGTAGGGTAATAAGGCCTACGGGTATTACGTCTAATTCCGTAAGGAAATTACGTATCTACGCGGCATTTACTACCGCCGTCGATAAGGCTATATATTTAGCCTCTCCCGAGCTTCGCGTAACTATCGACTAAAGCTTCGATATCTATACGATCGAGGTTCTTATTATAAAGAATACGTAACTATTTATTAACTTAATTATAGAGATATTTCCCGCGTAGTTCGAGTTTACGTAGCCGTAGAAACCTATCTCGTTATATTCTTTATAAGGGTAATTCTCGTTTAGTTACCGATACCGGATCCCTCGGCTTATCGTTCCCTTAAGATATCGTATTACGCGTTTAATTCCCGTTTAATACTCCTATAAGGGGTTATTTATAAAACGTACCTAAGTCGAGGCTACGTAATTAATATTAAGCCTCGTAATATATGCCGGAAAGTTCGCTTTTCTTACTAACGAGGTATACTTTTAAACCTTTCGTAGGTCGGCTTTATCGTTAGCCTTTCTCGGTACGACCGCGTTCCGATTCTTCGGGTTATACGGTAACGGATATAGCTTCGTGTCGCCGTAATTAAGCTCCTTTAAAGCCTTTTCCGTATATTATTATTAATCGAGCCGGACGTCCCCCGTAAGAAACGATCGTCTTATCCGGACCCCGAGAAATTAATTAGCGTTTCCTAGGTTAATTACCTTAACCTTCTCCTTAATTATATTCGCGAGCTTATGGAGTCGTTTCTTTTTAGGTCCGAATAATAAGAAATCGTTTACATACGAAGCGATTACGTTTCCTATTCCGGGTCTTATATAAATAGCGTCGTCTAAGGTTAATAAGACGTAGCTATATTTCTTTAAGATACCTCTTATACGCTATTACTACGCGGCTTTAGCTTATTTTAAGCCATATAACGGATTAATTAGCTTGATAATCTTCGATTCGTCGTAACTATAGGTTTATTTCTCTTTTTTATAAGCCTCGAAATACTCCTTTAACATAAGGAACTACTTTATAAAGATCCTTTCGTTTAATTTCCCGTTAAAGTAAGCGGTAATAAAGTCGATCTAAAGGATATATTATTAATAAATAACGGCTAACGCTATTAATATTCTAATACGTAGATTAGGAGAGCTACGTAGGTACTGAGGTTACTTCTTAGGAGTAACGGAAGGTAGGAAGAAAAAGGTAAATTAACTAACTATCTTAAAAGGAAGGAGATCAATAAAGGAGATACGAGCTACCTATATATAAACGATAAGAAGCTACGAGCTATATTATATAAGCAAACTAAGAGCTATATTAAGTAAGCGAGTAACTCGAGAAGAAGTAAGGAGCTATATATAAATAGCTCTTTATATAATATACCCCCTAGCTAGGCTCGCGATAGCAAGCTTAACTAAATAATAATAATAACTTAGCCGAAAGGCTCGCGATAGTTAGCTTAGCTATCCTCCTAATTAAAGTCCTAGGTTAGCTCGAGCCTTACTCGCCTTACTAACTTTCCGGGATAATATATTCGTCGCTTTAATTACTTACGCCTTTATTTAATATTCCTAATAACTTAAAGTATCCTCTTAATTAGTTATTATATTAGCTCTTCTTAATATCCTAATAAAAGAGATATATCGTAGCTCTTAATTAAGTATATTTACCGTATTCGTTATACGCTCGCGAGGGCTCCTATTACTTCGCTTTATATTATTATTATCGTACGCGAACCCTCTCGTGGCTTTACTAGGTTAATACCCGGTAACGCTCCTTCCTATACTTAAGCTTTTATATTATAAGAAAAAAAATCTCCTACTCTCTCGTAATAGCTCTCTCCCTCTCCTCTTTTCTTCTATAGAAGCATATCTAAAGCTAACCCGATACGCTCCTTTTTAATTCCTTATCGCTCTCGGTTACGTATATAACCTATATATTACTTTATTCGCGCGTACTTTATTTAAGTAAGTTATTTCTTAATTACGGTACTTCCTTACTATCGCTTGCTATTTTAACGAGCTTATAGTAATATATTAACGTAAGCTATATATTAATATAATAAACGCGAGGAATAAGATAAGCTTATACTTTAATAATATTAATACGGGTATAAGTAATTAAAAGCTAATAGTTCGATAAAATATTTAACCGTTTTAGCTCTTACGAGATCTTTAATAGCATCGATAGCGCGGTTAAAATACTAAGCGATGGAATAAATTAATTCCGTAACTACGCCTAAATATTCGTCGAGAAGCGAGCTTACGATCCCGCTATATCCGACTAAGGTCCGGCCGAATACGTAAAGCTAGTTACTTAATCTACCGTAATAAAGGAAACTACCGTTATCCTAAATACTTCCGCGGCCGTTAAAATTACTTTAGTTATTATTTCTAACGCCGCCGAAAAGCGACGTAATATATTCCTCGACGTTACTATCGATCGCTTAAATAACTTTACCCGCGATATCGCGGTTAATATATATATCTCGGTAGTTATTATAAGTAGCTTCCCTTTTAATACCGATATTAATAATCTCTTTATATATTACGATAAGGAAAAGTAATTTATTTACCGATATATAAATTAGCTCTTATATTATAATTATTATAAGTTATAAGCCTTTAATTAATTATTTATTTTAGATTTCCGACCGAGGTTTAGTTATAATATGAAATATTATAAAACTACGCTTCTTCGAGCGTCGTATAGCCCGCCGTATTCCTTTATTCCTTAAAGCCTTCCCCGTTATACTAAAGCCTAAGGCCGTATCTCGTAAGCGGGTTCGTAAGGAAAGTAGCTCTAGAGGTAAGGCTCGTAAGTAACGAATTCGTTACATTAAACGGGAATAAGTACGTAAAGATTTAAAGCGAAAGAAGGTCCGTCGCGCTATTCGCGAATACGGAACCATAAAGTTAAATAATAATAATAATACTTCCGAGTTTATACCTTAGGACGTAGAAACTACGGATAGCTTTATAAAAGGCGACTCCGGAAGCGACTTAAAGATAGTTATTTAAGCTACCCCGGGATCCCGCTAAGCGCTTATTATTATAACCGAGTAAGAATTAATAATCGCTCCTATTTCGAAAGCCTAAGCCGCCGCCGTATTAATAACTCTTAAAGAGATTATCGGCGAATACCGAGTACTTATTAAACCGTCGTTATATATATTAAGTATTCTTACGGAAGCTTAGAACGAAAAGAATAATTCCCTTATTATTATTACCGCCGTCGCGCCGACGCCTATTCGCTTAACGAAAGCCGGCGGCCTCCTTTCTCTTTTAAGCTACGGATAGTTTAATAATCGCTTATCTATCGTTAACGATATTATACCGAGTTTAAAGGAGCGTTATCGCGCTAGCGCTACCGCCGTTTCTACTCTTATTCTTAGCTCGGTTCTTTTTTTTATATTCGCGCCTAAAAAGTAAGCTTTTAATAAAGGTAGCTCTTTTAAATTCGAAACGGCTTTTATCGTTACTCCTATTACTATCCGTTAGTTAGCCGAATTAAGCTTTATCCTTATTACTCGCGTTACTCGAAAGCTTTTAATACGATTTAGCTCCTAGGAAGCTACCGAATTATCGCTTACGTCGGGAGAAATCGGTCGAACTACCCGAGCTAATAATAATATAGCCTCGCTATTTCCCGCTATTACTAAGGAGTACGACCCGCGTAACGATATTCCTTATTATCGGTATATTAATAACGTTATATAATATCGTTCGACGGGAAAGTATTTCTAATCTTTAACTTCTATTAATCGTTATTTACGTTATTCGCGTAGCTATTCTTACGTAGCTTTATAAGTATCCCTTAGAACTATATAAGGTTTCGTCGAAAGCTAATTAATTATAATTACCCTTACGTTATACGTCCTACTTAGCGGCTTATCGCCGCTTAAATAATTAACCTTAACTTAAAAGTAATAAGTTCCGAGCTTTTTTTATCGTAAATTACTTTTTTAATTATATTACTCTAAACTACCGCTTTCCGCGAAGAAATAAAGGAGTTATTTCGTTAGTATTATTCTAAGTAATAACGTTAGCTTATATTATCGCTTACTACCGAGTCGTTACGTAAATAAGCGATTACGGATACTTTCGTTTAGGACGATAGCTCTCTTATTAAACGTAAATAGGTTTTAATTCCGACCCGTTCC